ACCTTACTGGGGTCATTTGACCCCAGTGCTCTTCCTGCCATGGCAGGGGGTCGGACTAGATGATCTGCTCAGGTCCCTTCCGACCCTAGAAACTATGAAACTATGAAACATAGAAGTATGCCAGGAGTACTCAGAAGTCCATTTGCTAAGTAAACTTTCCTAAGGTAACTTTTATTTTTTTTTAATTGTACATTTACTTGTCTAACTGAGGCCTGGAACAGAATAATATACTGAGCTCAGCATGTTACCACCTATTTACATTTTGTCTGGAATATCTATATGCCGTGTTGCAAAGGCTGACATAGCCTGCTTTGAAGAAGGCTACAAGGAGCCTGGAGAGAAGGTAAAAGGCCTTGCCACTATCATTACTGCATTATCAGTCTTAACATTCATATAAAGAACAGATGCATTTAATATTTCACTGTATTCATCTGCACAAATTATTAGCCTCATTGGTCATTTGAGTTCTGCAGCTAGATTATATAGCTTTCCTGAAATGTTCTTATGCATCTCTGATAAACTATAACATCAGATGTTGTCATTATGACCAATTAGTAAGATTTCATGGCTTTGTCTCCAACAAGCAGGGTCAGGAACCCAGCCTCACCCAGATGCGAGGCGCAGCTACCTCTTACTTTCCCTCGATCAGTGAGCCCTTTGGAATAATGCATTCTTGCCTATAGAGTGGCCCAGTTGAAAGGGGAGGGGGAGAGTGTAGCCCTGACCCAGCCTTGCCTGTAAGCCTGGAGGTTTGGGCGCTCTTCCAAGAAAGAGAAAATGTGGCTTTGAACCTTCTTAGGCTGAAAAGGGAATTAAACTGGGTATGTGCTCTAAGCACCAGGCAGTTATGCAAAAGGTGAACCATCATATTTTTGGATAAAAGTGTCTGTGGCTATTGTGCTTTGTGCTCATCTTAGTGCAGCAGGTGCACATTAGGAGTGGTCTGAGTACACCTGCCAGACTGGGCTCTTGAGAGGACACAGGCAGATAAACGCATAACTGGGGAATCCCAAACATGTTTGCAGGAGGTGGGCACTGAGATGCTCTGGACATGTACTGCTGCAGATCTTCCAGTGCCTAAATAACTTTACAGGAGACATCTTGGGTGCTTAAAACTGTCCAGATGCCTAAGCAGTTAGGCAGGGCTTTTGCGGCGTGCTCTCTTGGGTGTGTATCCAAGGAATGAAAGGAACACATAGCTTTTTATAGAAAAGTATTATTAATCCATTAGGGCAGGGGTTGTCAACTGGGGGTATGTGTACCTCTGGGGGTACTTGAGAAGGCCCTAGGGGGTATGCATGGGCGGCGGGGATCGAGCGCCACCATGCACCATCCCACTCTGCTGCACAGGTGTCACCCACCCAGTCGGACGTGGAGGGCGGGGGCAGCTTGCACGTGGTAGCTGCCAGCGCTCCGCATGGCTGCGTGCCATCCCCCACATCTGGCTGCCGGGGATACACTGATCCAAAAAGGTTGAAAACCCCTGCATTAGGGTATTCTTAGGGGTGCACACATGATATGATTACAGGCAACCCCTACTTAACACTGTTTCACTGAGCACTATTTCACTATAATGCTCAGTTTAAATTGATGCCCGATTTCACCTAGCACTCAGTGAGTTTTGTTATAAGGCTCATGATCACCATCTTGGGCCATTAACAACAACTGTGGTCACCATCTTGGGTTGTCAAATACTTTCAGTTTCGCTTAACGCTCGTTTTGCTTAACGCTCAGTTTTTCAGGAACCAATTAAGAGCCCTAAGTGGGGGTTGCCTGTACTACGGAACAATTTACCCCAAATTGTGAGTACGTTTTCTGCAAAGCAATGAGGAGGACCAGGCCCATAACCAGCTGTCCTAAGTTTGCCACTCACAGTAAACATTATTACAGACCATAGTTCAGAGGTCAGCAATGATTTTGGGCAGAGTGCCCTTTCCTTGACAACTGCCCCAAGGCGCACATGCCAAGCAAAATGCCTTCAAGTGCCATGCACCTGCATCTGTGCTGGGGATTGTCTACCCCTGATATAGCCAGTAGGTGGCAGGGGAATTGGTCAGCACTGAGGAAATGAACAAGATAAAATTCACTGAAGGAGGAAACACACAACCTGATCCACCTAGCAGTATCCCTGCACAGTAAGGTTACCACGTATTTTTGAAGGGTAACTACACTGGATACAAGGGATTTACAGTACAAGCTGCATAGAGCTGGTTCATTTGGCAGTGAGAAGGATTAACCTGCCAGCATATGTGTCAGATCATTTTTCTAGCCCATCTTCACTGATGTCCCTGAAGCGTTATTAGCAGCTCCAAAACTGAGTAGGTCTTGTCATATCCAAGGCTGTATGCAGTGAGTAACAACTTAACCAGGTTTAATGAGGTGCAAACAGCTGAAGAAAGGCTGAGGGCTGGCTCTGAATAACACTGTAGGTACATCAATGAGGTGTGCAAAGTTGAAAGCTTCCCATTCCTGTACAAATTAGCAGGCACACTTAAATCAGTTTAAAGTAGTGTCTTTAATACTGAACTGGCTAGTGCCATTTGTACAATTTAAATGGCTGCCCACCCTCTCACAGCCATCTTAAATGACTGGGGCCACATTATACAGTAGCCTTGTGTATCAGGTATCCATTCTATGTGCACAATATAGTAATGTCATTTCACTATGCAGCAAATGTATCATGTGTCCACATCTTTAGCTGTGCATAAAATATCTGAGTTGCAAATCTCAAAGCTTAAGACTAGTTGATCTTGACTTTTCATAGTAAAATGAGTTACACATTTATGTACAAGAGCCCTCTCCAGTTTGTAGTCCTGTAAATAAGTAAGCATCTTCCTTAAGATACATTTGATATTCCTCTGCTTACTGAAGAAGGCTAATTTCTTGACCTTTATTTCTCTCATGCTCCCCTGAGATATATTACATACCAATGAACTTTTGGTTCTGAGAGATTATGTTTTGATATAGCTTCAATTTTAATTTGATGTCTTATAATTATATTATGTAAAAGTCAGTATAGACTTTTAAAAACAGAAATGGCTAACAAAATAAAGTTAAAGGATCAGTAATCAACTTGTTATTGTGTTTGTTTCTTTTTAACATGGCCCAAGCATGATTTTCTTTCAAACTGTGCTTAAAAATTCTTAAAATGAATCAATCTATTTAAATTTTGCCAAGAGTTTACTCCTGGATTAGATATCTACTATATAATTTTACTATGTAATTTTTAAAAATGCCCTGAAAATACAGACTTGCAGCACAACCTAACTGAACACAGGCATAGACTGTAATCTCTTTGGAGTGGGGACTAAATTTTTATTTGTTGTTTGTACAGCACATAGTCTAATCCAAACTTGGTCCAAGATTGGAGCTCTGAAGTGTAACTGCAAAAAATATATGATAATTAATGCTGTTATAGGCACCTAGGCTCTTCATAAAGTACCTACATGTGTGCACACATGTAATCCTGATACCAAAATATCTGAGGAAGTATTTCACAATTACAAAGCACTTGCTTTTTATTTTGCTAAATGTTGAATAGAAGGTAGGTGAGCATACCTACACCTCTTACATGAAATCTGCTAAAGTGTAAAGTTGCCTTCTATCAAGAGATAAACCTCTATTGTTCGCAGACAATAAGCAATGATAATATATACAAATCATACCTCTGTGCAGTGTTTCTGCCAAGCCCTTGTTTATGCTCTGAATCCTTCAGAGACTGAGTGATTGTGGGAATCAGGCTGATAACTAGCATTTGATCCAAAATAGCCACAGTTTCTAGGATGCTGAAAACCTGATGATCATATATTGTGGTGTAGCCCTGAATAAACTGCCTGAAGGAGAAATGGGGGCATTCAGTGCAAATTCAAAACTAGCTGCAGAAAGCATGCAAAAAGACAATTCTAAAAAGAATCAAATCAGAGGCAGCAACTTGACTGCACAGTTTTCATAGGACACAAAGCCTAACACTAAAGACTCGTGCACAAACTTTTACCAGTGAAACTTTATACCCTCAGAATCTCGAAGCTGCTTCACATGGGCTGCCCCTTTCATTGCACTCTGCCCTGTAATAAGCATCTGCTTGCATGCAGGAGCATGCAGGTGTGGGCTTAAATGTATAACAGACAAGTCCCACAGAGTCAGGAGCGCAGAAATAACAATTTTCTTATAAAACATCACCATTGTCTTAGCTTGGGAACACAACTGACTGCAAATATATCCAAACTACATGAGTTTCTCAAGCATCTAAAGCTGCAGGCAGAATCTGAATTGGAAGCAGATTATGCTAAATCAGAGATGAAATGTTTCCTAACTGGCCACACTGACGAATGTCAGGGCATACCGTGTGGGAGCTGACAGAGGCCCACTGATTACAATTGGGCTTTGTGCATCTGTTCCCTGCACAGCACAGGGTCAACACTTACATCTGTAAAATGTCTTTAGATCTAGAACACATGTAGTGTTTGCTTGCTCTATATTGGGGGGGAATAGATCCAAAAGAATTTAGAGAAGAGTGTAAGTAATTTTCATTAAGAAATATTTGCATATTGCAAATTGGGAATTTCAATGTTAAAAATATAAAAGAAAACACACTTGGATGTGGATTTGAATTTAGGTACGCATGCTTGAAATTAGGCATATGCACGAGCCTGCTTAGTATCTGACATGCTTCACCATCTTCTGGGGAGTTCTCCATTAAGACTGCAAAGCACCTCTCAGCTGCTTATCCTTCAAAGAAAAGCCCTAATCTACAAGAAAAGATACACATTTGTTTTTGTCCTTTTTTTCCCTGTCATTTTTTGGCTAACCAGCGTTTTAAACCAGTGCCAAGAATGCAATAATTTAAGTACTATAAATAAGGACAAAGCATTATGTAAGGGATAATTAGTTATTACAAAAATAAAACCCTGTTTGCTATCAAACACTTTGCACTGATTACATTGCCAGTTGGCATATTTTCTGGTTACCTAAACACTGAAGTCAGCTGGGTGGCAGGCTCTCCTCCTGACCTCACTTGGCAGCCTTCTACCATGAACTGCAGAATCTCTGTACATAATTTTTTAACTGTAAGAGAAAAAAAAATCTCAAGAGCTCTTGAACTGACCATCTGGAGAATAGCTCCTATAATGATTACTCTCTTTTAATTAAAAAAAATCATGTAAAATACTTTAAGTAAAACAACTGTACTGGTGATTGCCTCACTATAAAGTACAGTAAAGCACAGATACATTCAAAGAAATTCTTATCCCCCTACCATTACACTTAAAAATCCATGGATTTTAAGTAACATCCCTTTTAAATCTAGGTACTCAATGAAAATAGACCTGTATACTTAAGTTTAGGTTTGGTTTATTCTTTAATCCATTTTTACTTTGAATGAAAGAAAAACATTCTGGGGATTACATACTGCGCTGAGGTATAAATATGAATTGTCTCATCCTTTCAATAATCTTTCTTCCTCCTCTTCTTTTTAAAGAACTAAATAGATTCAGTTCCTTCTATGACAATTTATGTGGAATAACTCTCTATGCACAGAGTCTTTTATAAATTTAGAACTGCATTTAACCCTGGGATTTATGCTGGTTTCTGCAGACCCCCAGGTAGAGAACCTCTGCCTTGGCAGACAGACAGCCAACAGGCAGTTACGGGAGTACAGATAATGCACCATTCCTGCTCCAGCTAATTAGTTCAGTTAGCTGGTTTTAGCTGTAGGAAGATGCTTTAACTGGGAATGTGTCACTGCACGTGCATCCCTTGTGCATACTCTGTCCTTGAAACTGCTACAGACCACAATTAAAAATTACTTCACTAAACAAAATCCCCAGGAGAAGGCAAAGGTGAATCCCCACCTTGTGAAATGCTGCCACTGGCACAAAAGTGGAAGTCACATTCTCCCCCATACACTAACTTGCACAAGGGTGGGGTTAATTGAGTTCTTTGTTTTTATTAGTGATCTAAAAGAAGACTGCAGGCACAAGCAAGCCTAGAACAGTTCTGTGTTAACATTAAAAAATATTCTCAGTAACTTCTTCAGAAATCAATGTGCCACTTTACACCATGTATAATGAAATACAAAAATCTGGGGATGAACACATGGCAGAGCTCTTCAGACCTCCGCAGTCTCAAAGCCAGAGTGAGGGTGAAAGATAAAAGAATAAGATGAAGACTGGAAGGGCTCTTCAGGAGCCTGGCAATGTGGAGTCTTTCACTGGGCAAAGAATGTCACTAAAGTAGAGAAGCCAAACACAATGTCTCTGGAGAATTCCCAAGTTCCTAGCGTCTGATATCTTGAAGACAGATCAGATCAAGAATGGCCAACAGCAATGCAAGTTTCTGGTAATGTGTCTCATCCAGTAGCCATGACTAACAAACCTAGCCACTTAGATGAAACATGTTTAGTAGGTAAAAATTATAACATGTTTACATTCAAAGTTAATTAAGTCACTCACCTTGTGGTTCATTAACAAATACTAAGCATTTCAACACAGCAGGGAGCAGCAATTCAATGTCACATACTTCAATGTTTTTGGTTCTTAGGAATACTTCAAGAATGAAAGCCAGAACTGAGGCCACACGGGGAGGTGGAGCATTACCTTTGAACTGCAGGTAGTTTTCGCTGAAAGGAAATAAAGCTCAGTCTATAACTTAATTTTTCATTAAGCATCTTTCTCTAATATTGTTATAGTTCACCAGGAGGGCTATTAAGTGGACTTCTATCTCTATGGAGGATAGAAATATGGTTTCAATTTCTTTTCATCTTAAAAATTACTCTTAATTTTTTAGAACACAGAGTGATGCTTTCCTACTCTTCTATTGTTGTGGAAACTCAGAAATAGCAGCTATTATAGCTATGGTCAAATATTCAAACATGACCACAAATGCTGAACCCACAAACAAGTGCAGATCCAAAACACAATCACTGCATGTACTTGTATGCAAAGAAACCCACGCGTTTATCTGCAGACGCGGATATTCTTTACAAGGCCTGTAGTGTACATAACCCTTTGTATTTATTCTGACAGCAAGATTCTTCTCTCCAATCTCCATGCCATAACCCCCTTCCAATAGCTTGTGCTCCTAAAACAAATAGTACTGCAAGGACCCTGAATGACCAGACCCTGAATATAGGCTTTTAATATATTTGATGATAAAACAATTGAATAAAATATGTATTTTATACACTCTCTGATTGACTAGAATTCTAAGAATTTTACCTACTCCCCTGTAATTTTGGTTTAAAGTACTATTAATTTAGTAGCTGTTAATTCCTCTTTAACAACAAGCTCTGCCTTTGGTCAGGCTGAAGTATGCCACAAGGATAAAAGGCAATCTGACACCCTGGGACAGTAACAGATTTTAACAAGCACATTTTGAGTATTCTAACTTAATGACTTGAATTGTACATTTTCATCAATAGGAGGCAAGAATCTGAATAATTTTTCATTTGAAATAAGGAGCGATTCTACTGAAGAATAAAAACAAGTATTCATCAGTATTTATTCACCAGAATATACAAAACAATGTTCCAGATACCTAACAATAAAGAAAAAGAAAAACAAAAGAAATACTGATCAACAATAAGTGATGAACCTGAGCACAGGCATATCTATACTTTCACCTTCATACAGTGAGTGCAGATACTTCACAGGGTTAGGTACTTTGCCTCCCTGCAAAGATGTGGGGTTCTAATATAGCCAGCTGTGCTGGGCCACTGTGGTGCTCCACCTCTTTGCTGTGCCCGTTATTTTGAAGAGTGCTGTTTCTCCAGTCAACTGCACAGAACTGCTGCTGTGCTCCCGCTGAGTGGAGGACCAGCACCCTTTGAAGTAAAATCTGTGGCAAACAGTGGCATAACTCATCCTTCATTTGGGGACCTGCTACACCACCCAGGTTGTGAACCACCCAGATGCAAATGAGTCAGGTTCTACTGTACTTCCCAATGTGTTCAGTCTGCATTTCATATTGCAGACTCTTCAGGTGATATTCCCGTCTTCCTATACTTCTCAGTGGTTAACTGTATCTCCCAATTAATCTGACAGTCTCACACAAAAATCTTTATACATACAGCCTAAGCAGCTTTATTTCTTCCGTGGGCATCTGCTTCCTTATCATAGAAATGTTTCTCTGTCCTGGACTAAGTGAATTCTGATGACATGGCTCAATCTCCCCAGAGCAAGAGAATTATCCTTCTTGGAGGTCAATGGCAAAACGATTAGTAAATTATATGGATGTTTAAATGTGGCCCTCAGTGACTGCTCCTAACCATTAGACAATGTGTCACTTCACTGACTGTTATGATTCTAAGATATTTTCCCCAGTCCTCTGTCATATTGCCTTGTGCTGCTCCATCTCTACACTACCAACTGCTGTTTTTCCTTTAGAGCCTTCTTCCCGTGGTCAGCATTATATTTCATATATATGAACACCTACGTTAAGAGGACATCATTAAGGTTGTGATCTCAAACGTTCACAAGTCAGGCAGTGCAAGAATTTGAAAACTGAAATAAAATAATATTTTAACATATTTCACAGTTCTTTTCTGGCAAATTTCACTAAAATAGGAACCCCACTGACATACTTGTGTACTGTTTACTTATCTACAAACTACTCATCAAACCAAGTGGTATTCCCTTTATTGTTATTCTTATTTTCCTTGCCCTCAACTCCCCCGCAAGATGACCCACCATGTTCATTTAGATTGAAATCTCTTTACACTGAAATAGTTCACCTCGTATTATGTGCCTATACATCACAAGAAGCTAAACTAGGCCCAAACTAAAATCTTTATGGAATGTAAACAGAAATATTAATAATACCAGCCATGCCATAAACCATTTGTGGAGAAATTAAATTTTAACCAGTACGATGACTCTCCTTCCCCAAGTCTTACTTTATGATATGTGCAGTGGTCTTCCGCAGATGCAAGGTCTGTGGGGTGTTAGTGGAATGACACAGTGCTAGCAGCATGGGGTGCTGTCCAATGCCTGAGGCTGATGGTGAAGGGGGGAGAAAACGTCCAAAATATTGTTGAATAATGCTCCCTAGTTGTTGGTTTAAGTAGGCCCCCTGAGTTTGGGACTGACAACATATCAAAGACAAACCCTAGGAAAACAAATTCAAAAAGAAAAATTAAATAAACCGAATAAAAATCTTTCGTGTTGTACCTGCTACTAGGAATAGTTTCTATTGCCTACATGCCACAGGTGAATTATTGCTACATTCACAGCACTTAACTGTGGCACTAAGAAAACTAGTGAATCTCGCTGAGCTGTAAAGCACACTGATATTTGTTTGAAAAGTGTTATTCTTCCTATTAATGACACACAAAAAAGAACATTTGGAATGATGAGACCTACAGGGCCATGCCCTAACCTTTTCAATTTAAGTTAAGCCCCAATTATTTTGAGCTCTTTTTCTGCACCTGTTTATAGTGAAAATAGTGCGACTTACCCTGGGGGAAGCTGAAGCAAAGAGTGAAACGCAGGAAAAAATTACAAAAGAATAAATTAAGCAGGAAATACCTATTTAGTAAGTGATCTCGGCAATATTTGTAGCAAAACCAATGCATTAATGCTATAACCATAGAAAAAAGGATATTTTCTCCAACATGTACAAGAAGTTTCTGTGCGAGAAGGTCCATATTTAAAGGACCTTCTTCACTGGTGACTGACCTCTCTTCACTGGTGACTGACAGGAAGAAGAATGAGTCAGGAATAAAGCCATCCCATGTCACAAGGGGTCACAATACAGCATGCACACAAATCTCTTTAGTATAAAAATTCCTTAGAATTCACACCTTGATAAGATAGACAAAACTAATGCAGAAAAAAACTAAATGGAGAGGCATATTCATCACTAAAGAAACACTTTAAGAGTTAAAGGGGAAAATCCTATGTAATTATTGAGCAGCTTCAGAAATCCATACTAGTATGGTCCATATTTGTATACTAAGCCATTCTTTTCCTACTGTTTTGGGGAACATAATACCTTCCTCCCCGCAACATGAGTCCATTCTTTACCCACCACCAGTTATTGCAGTAAATACATCACAGATATTCAAACAGATACATCTAGAAGTTATGGTGTGAAACGCAGAAGTTCTAGATGAACTACTTTATTCTGGTTTACAGCTACAAGAGATTCTTCCTCTCTGGGCTTTTGCTCTGTAAATTCAACATGTGCATTATGGACAGCTAAGTTCATAAGAGCCCATCCAAAGAGACTTCTGTTTAGAACTATCTATACATGATCTAGAAGTGGAATGGCCTTCAAGGGAAAAAACATGTTGGGCTCACAAGCTGAGAGGAAGACTTGAACTTTTCGGGGATTAAAAGTTTATTTTTTGGAGAGTGAAATATTTGGTTCCCCTGTAAAGGACAAGTGAGAACTAGGGAATTTAAGAACTAAGGAGGTTAAAGAGCTGTCTCACATATGGATGTGCCTGAAGATGGATATCCTGAAAATCATTTACGTATTTCTGATGTAAACTTCACAAAACATCTCTGAATCCTGAAGCGTGGTTCCTACTGGACTAGACTTCAGATATTTCTTGAAGCTTCTTTTGAGGATTTATAATAAATCTCTGTGATGAAAGCCATAGTTTCTGAACCACAACCCAGGCCTTAAGAAACTCCGGTTCTATCAGTGGATTGCCTCTTCTGGAAAAATGTATATTCCTTCTTAGTGAAAGACAGCTCCTACTATAACCTGAACACTTGAGAACATTACATAGCCCACTCATGACTTAAAGGGGACGACCGTAGGCTGAGGAAGGAAATTATTCACTTCAGAAGATTAATGAGACAAATTTGGTATGATCTTTCACAGAAAATGTTCAAGTTTTGATGAGAGCTAGACTGACCCCAGGAATTTTTTTGTCTTAAAGAAACAGATTTAAATAAAAAAACCATGTTTCATGACCGTATCTAGGACATTACCAGAAAATCTACCTATACTGTTAGGATCAGAAGTTTTTGTTGCTCTTAAATTTGGCAACAAGTGCTCATGCCTAAAAAATGTAGTGACCAAGTACAAAGTGGCATCAAGTAGTGTAGTGTAGTGACCAAGTACAAAGTGGCATCACCTAGATGGTCAGGATTTAGGTTACGATTAACCTATTAACCACTATTAATATTTCATGAGAAAATAAAACCATCTTGATATTTAAAAAGGAGCTGTAGCGCATTTAAAATTGTGCAAACATGTTCTTGAATTAAAAAAAACCCCATTCTCTCAGGACGCTTTGATTTTTATGCTTGATGGGTCAAAGAACCTCCCTCTTCAAAGGGCACATAAGATTTTATAGATCAACTTATATTTACAGTCAGTAGAGCTCCAGGTGTTTTTCTTTTTAGGAAGAGAATGATATATTTTTGTCTAACAAAGTTTATTCATCAGGGTTTTCCCAGTCATTTAACTTTTCCTAGATTGGTGGTTCTTTTCCTAGATTGGTGGTTCTCAATCTCAAAGCTCCCCTCAGAAAATGCCAGCTTTTAGCTTTCAATTAATTTTTGACTATATAAGAACAACAGAGCAATTTTTCAGTTGCAAACAACTCAGAAAGACCACAGGAAGTCAGAATATTTTGGCAATATGGATTCCAGTCTGAAATCTCTGGGTTTATCTTGTGAATCATGTAAGCACTTGTATACTAATATTGTATGTAAACTTGTACTAATATTGTATGTCACCTTTAAAGGATTTTGCAGCTCTCCAGTTGAGAAACACTGTTCTAGATCATAAATAGCAATAAAAATAACTACTTCTTTGCGAGGATCAGGTAAAAATCACTTTTCTATGGTAGAGCACTTGCAAAACACTCAGTCAAGACAAAAGCCCTGAACACTCTGCACTCCAGATTACAGACCCTGAGGTTGAGGCAGAGGAATATTGGAAGAGGTACAGTAAGTTTCCACTGCTTCTTCAAACCTTCTGGGAAATAAGGTAGGATTCCTTGGGGTTAAGATCTCTGCAATACTAGGCACTTTCTTTTGAGTGAACAAGAGTATTTCTTATCTTTATAGGGTTTAGAGGGTGAAAGATTTCCAAGGGGGCTAAAGAGCCAGCTGAAGAAATGGTGAGAGATTTTGGCCTCCAGGAACGCCGTGTTGACTTGGCTGCCATGGCTTCCTATGAATCCTGTCAGTAGGTAGCAGGGAGCTTATCCTTTTGCATGGAGAAGAATTATCCTTATTACTATACTGCAGCTGATGGAGTTTTGGCCTGTGGATCTGACCAAATTCAATTTAGGCTCACAGGGCCTTCTGTTTGTAGCAGACACACATTACAGAGAGGATAAGTAAAGGCCAGCTTATTTTCTATACTTATACTATGCTTTTCGGACATCATAAAGGAAGAAATTAAGGTCTCCCAAACAGAGGTGCATGCCAGAATCTCCTCCTCACTTAAGCAAAGTGGCAATTGATTCTTGTGTGCATGAGCAGCAGGGACCCTTTGTGGCAGGGGATCCTTGTTGCTTCTGATTCATCCATCTATCTGTAAATCACCTGTGGAGAAATAGGGACTATTAGTATGGATTACTGGAACTATTCACTGCAGAAATGCCAAGCTACCTAATGATGAGTTATAATACCAGTTCTGCTGAAGGAATAAGTCTGCTGTTCACCAATTTATGTCGTGCAATTCCTATTAAATATATACTATAATTCACAAAATGTGTTAATAAACTTGTTCAAATATCTGACTATACACTACAGATGAGGCATCAGGAGAGCTTTTAAGGCCTGACCCCTGAGAAATGCTGAGCCTGCTCAACTCCATTAAAGTCACCATGAACTGTGCATGCTGAACACCTCCATTTCAGCAGTTCAATAGAAAAAAATACTTATAAATCCACCAGGAGATGCTATATCCCCTTCCTTTATATACATGTTCATTTCACATATATGCACCACCTGTTGTAGGGCATGTTCATAACACCATATACAGAAATAATTAAATTACATTACATTCTTTCCTAGAGGACTCCCTAGAGAATCAACTGTCCCCAAAGCAGACTGCACCCTGGCAGAGGGAAGGAGGGAAACAACCTCCCTATACAGTATGTCTTAGGATAAGAAAAAATACCAGTTAAAAACTAAAGAGTGATGCCAAGCCCTAAGTAAGCTTGCCAAGGCTGAATCCATTTGGGAGCCCTCAGGAAACCTATAATGGCCCTTGGATGCAGTGGAGAATGAATGAATTACACATGAAATAAATAAATACAGTCCTGTAACTCACATTTATTTTTATGCAGAAGGTAAAATAAAATTAAAGAATCTAAGAAAAATGAAGAAACAAAACATCCTGGTCAGTCTCACTGCACTGACTTAATTCCTTTGGAAAGTTATTTGCAATGCACACCCTAAAAATACTTTAAATTTGTTTGATTTCTTTAAAATGTATCAACAATGCTGCAGGTCCTTTAGAAAAGGTAGACAATATATGATTATAATGAAATGCCGATAGAAGTACTTACTTGACAGCATAACACATCATGCAGAGCCATACCATGGTCCTTAAAGTAATCCGCATACATAAAGCCAAAGGTGTATATGAGTGGTGGGGAGGAGAAGACAAAAAGAGGTGCTTTGGAATAAGCCCTGAAGGGTATAAAATCTCTGCAATTATAAGGTACGTTAACAAGTTCCAGACTTGAGTTCCCTTCCAGAGCAGAACCAAGTCATTAGTCTCCACTATTTTAGACTACAGAATTGCTGCTCCAATAAAGCACTGGGAAAAAATGTACAGAAGAGGAACTGAGAAGCCAGGTTAAGACAGGCTTTTAAAAACTTAAGATACTAAGAGGTCCTGCATGCACTCATGCCTTTTTAAGTAGAGGGAATCCAAAATGAGGCAAGCTGGATGTAGGAATCAAGGAAAAGAATCTATAACCAGGAAGAGAAGGCTGGAAGAAAGAAGGGCCCTGGGACCCTTGAATGGATTGACAAAAACCCAAAGGCTCTAGGATTAGTTTGGATGCTGAGGAATTGATGTATGGGCCTGCAAGTCTCTAAGTCTTATGAGTAAAGCACATGTGTTTACAAAGTTATTTTGAACAGACTCTAAAAGTTTCCAGCTTCAACTGGCATGTGGTCCCCAAAGCATCAAGATGTAAATCAGAATACCACTAGGGCACGGAGTTCAAGAGCAAAGTTTCGTTTAGCAACAGGGAAGACTTAGGGCCACGGTAAGCAACCTTTTCCAGTTGTGGGCTGAAATGACCCACTTCAGGTAAGGAGGAGTCAGGTGCTAGAACCCGCTTGCAGCCAGCACTTCTCCCCCAAGTGGCACAGGGAGAGTACCCATGGCCGATGCCCACATTTCTGAATGCTACTGAAGCTGTAGGCCATAGGCTGCCAATCTCTGGCTAGTACCCTAAGTCCTGGTCACCAAAGGACAAATTAACTCAATGATCCCATTTCCAAAGAGGTGATATCAAAAGGAAGTTTGCAACCACAGAGTGAGCTTGGGAGACTGGGCTGGCTCCAGGCACTGTCACTAAACTCAAGGAACTGCAGACTAGGGCTGTACAAAGAGACACACTGATTTATTTAGTTTGCTGGGCAAACAAAAAACTTACCACCATTTTGACTTGGTCCAAAATTACATTTTCTTGAGTAGAACAAAAGACTCGATTACTTTTTAAATGCTTAAAAAATATTAAACACTGGCAGTTTACTAAATGAAAAGTCATTTTGAAACAACCAAAAACGATAACGTGGAAACAAAAAGCTTCTAACTTTCTAAATCATTTTCAATGTTTTTTCAACAGAACCTGTGTCCAGAATCAAAGAATTCTGGTCCCCTTGCACCGGCATTTTTGACAAGTAAACTATTTGCCAAAAATCTTCCCAAAACAACAGATACTCAGCTGTATTCAAAAGCATGTGGATCCAACAGATAGATCCAAACATAGAAGCCTGATCAGAATTGAGCAGATTGACAGGCAGAGAAACTAGGGAGTCAGTAGCCACCTAAAACTCTACAGAAAAAAAATCACTTTACAACTACACCCTGTAAGCACAGGTTATGGGAGAAGCAGGGTAATACTTTCTTGGTGGAATAGCATTTAGCAAGCTGGCAGGAACATTCTATAACAATTCAGTTTCCAGATGGTCCGAGAAGTAAATTCAGTCATGTTAGTCTAGAGTCAGGCAGAATGCAGGCAAAGCTGCACCTTAGAGACTAACTCATTCAGGAAGATATAAGTTCTTGTAGAACCTGACAAAGCATGCTATATGCCTTTCTGAACGAGCTGGTTTCACCCCTATCCTGTCTTCTGCCAGATGGCCAAGTATATAGAACTTCTGAAATTCCCAAAGACTAACAACAAATTATGCCTTAGACTACCACATCAATATATAACCTTATAACTTTACTGTGACATGTCATCATGATAATTTTTAAAACACAGAATAAATCTGTGGGACATTTACAAAGTTACCATGCCTTATATTTGGTTGCGTTTAAGCACAGGAACAAATGTATGCTCAAACTGTAGGTTTGGAGGAAATCAGGAAAAGAATTTTTCAAGAAATTATGTACTGGTTATTTTTAAACTAGATCTCTCTCTCCAGCCCTCTCCCAGAATCAATAACTTTTACAGCATTTTAAGTGTGACCAAGCATCAGGAAGGAGACAAATACAGAGAAAATGCAGAAAAATTAACAGACTGTCAAACTACTATGATAGGTTGGAAATAGTGCAGAAAGTAAACACACATTTAAAAAAAACATGAGGAAATTTAAAACCTGCTCATTTTTAAATAGCTTATATTTAATAATCTGGGGGAAGGAATATTTTAAAATACATTTGCTTGCTTTCCAATATGAACATTCTGTTATCAATTGTGCTTGTATGATCTACTGTTTCAAAAGTCTCTCACATCAGTGGGCAGTGTTAACATCACTTTTACTAAACCACAGTGATCAGGCTGGGACAGTGGTTTTGAACCTCTCTGCATCCAAGACACCCCCTTAATGGATTTGAGGCACCCTCTATATAACTTATGTGAATTAAGTGGCACCCAATTTCAAAACTAAATTATATTACGGTGCTTACCATTTGAAGAGGGGTTGGACAGTGCACATGTGCACTGGTGCCAGAACACGGAATTGGCCAGGCAAGAACAAGCTTGAGCCTGCCCTTTTCTCCTAATCTCATCATACCTTGTGGCACTGTTCAAAGGATCTTGCAGCACCTCTGGGTGCTGCATCACCCTGAGGATCATTGAACTAGGATATACTGGCAAGCAGCTTTTATTGCTGCCATACACATCCAATGAATAGTGAACCAACAAAGTGGCTTTCTTCCCTCTCCCCTGCTCAATAAGAATAATACTACTTCTGCTTGATTTAAGTGAGATTCAATCTAGTTTTGAAAAGGAAAAAAAAATTACCCTTGCTGCACATTTGCATTCCAGAAGTTTGTCTGCTGATAATAGAGTTCAGATATTTACCTTAAGATAAAGAGGAAGACTCTCCTGAATGGCAGACAGCATATCTGTAGGAAGCCCTTTGTCTTGCTGAAAAACAGCATGTGGCAATAGCAGGCAGTCTATGATGCGGAACAGGAGTGGTTGTGCTTTAGAAGTAGCGAGCATCAGTGCCCAGGACTTTACAAGGCATCCTATTGGGCAAGAAGCAAAAAAAACCAACCAAATAAATTAAAACTAGAAAAAACACACACACATACATAAATAAGCAATATCTAAGTTATTTTACCCAAAGGTAACCATAGCAACCTGGTTGTCCACTTTCATGTACAACAGAACCTGAATAGAGAATCTGAATATACATTTACAGTACTGCAAAATTAAGGTCCCTAATTGTCCAAATGCATTAAAATGTACAAACTGTAATTTCGATTATAGTGAAGTACACAAAGTATGGCTCAACTATAAGTAGGAGCCACTGTATCACACCCCAGAAGTAAAAGCAGTTGACTTGTGGAACATTTAACCATGTAATTGGCATGTTTGTCCTCACACAATATTCACCTCTGCCATGATACAACACAGGCGCTCAAATTTTTTCTACGTGAATCACATAAACAGTTTGTTTTCACCTTCCATTCACAGTTGCCTGACAGCCCTGTGGCTATAAAAGCAATTGCTTACCCTGAAAAAGCAATATTAGGAAAGTACTAAATATATTTTAACTCATTTTCAAATTGAAATTTACCAACTGAAAACAAGAAGCAGAATTCAGGTCCACGTAACCAGACCTCCCAAGCTCCATGGTGTGCAATTTGAGAATCTTTGAGCACTTCTCATCCATTTTCAAAACCTTTGTGTGCCGATTGCCAGATTCCTGAGACATTATTTTTATAATCTCTCCTAGTGAGTTGCACATCAGAGGGGAAATGGTGAGGTAGTGTTGAAATGATCTGTAGCTGTGATGGTCCAGGATTTATGCAAGAGGCAAGGATTATCTAGGTGATACCTTTTATTCAACCAACTGTTTAAAACCAATGTGGAGGGCTGTGAAACTTCCTTGGATGCTCCTGGACTTCTTGACTTACCAAAGCTTTTCAGTTGGATATAGATTCAAATCAGGTTCAGTTCATGAGAACTACTTTGCATGTGAACTTTCACAGCCCTCCACCTTGTTTTTGTGGACTGTTTCTTTTCTCAAACCTGATGAAAAACTCTCTGCACCCAAAAGCTTATCTGATGGTAAAAACAGATGTTACCAAATTAAGTGGATGAACTGTAGCAGGACACATCCTGCCACAGATGATCTGCTTCATTGAGCAAAATGACTCATTGCCAATATGGAATAATAGGCACTGTTTCCTCTAACCTGAGGATTCCCCGCACCCATCGCTGCCCTGTGTCTCCTTACCAGGACCTGCTCTGGATCCCTGGTGCCCTGTAATTTCATATCAGGACCCATGCAGTGCCATGCCTCCACAATGACTTGTACTGGATCCCACACCAATTTGCGTGTGATGCAGAAGCACGTCAGTGCGGATCCTGGTGTCAAGGGATGGGGTGTCAGGAATTCCCTCGGGCCCACACTGCTCCCACACCTCTTTGCTGGGACACGTGCTTGCATCTCTTGTAGAAGGTGTAAACCTACAAATACCCTGACTTCCAGAAACATTCTTTTTATAAGAAAGCTCCAATATTTTTTGAGAATCTCATTGTATGCTAAAGGAATTTTATTATTAAACAAAGCACAAATAATATAATCAGTCTAATTAAACATGGTATTTTCCATACAAAAGTAGTTCTCATGAACTAAGCCCAACTTGAATTTATATCCAGCTGAAAAAGGTTTGCTAGGTCAAGAAGTCCAGGAGCATCCAAGGAAATATGTTTAAGATCGACTAGTGAAAGAGATTAAAGACAGGCTCCTAAAAAGGTTATTAAAGTCTAAAAATCAACCCGTTACTGTCTGTAAAGACAATGAACAACATTAAGCTTATAAATTGAAAGAAAACACAATGATCAATCAAAAAGATACAAAGTGATCACTTCGCAATATTTTTAATAATGCTATTTAGCTCCCCATCTTCTTTCACCTGCCATATAAAAACACCTGGAAGGAGGATGCTCATTCCAATCCACAATGTTCTACCCATTGTCACTGACATTATTTATTTGGTGGCATAAGGGTACTACAGTCAGACATGTATACAAAGCCCACCCATGAGAGGCTTTCAGACTTCTCTGTTAAGCACCTTACTGTGTGAGTGCAGTTTTACAAGCTCACAGCAGGTAAAGAAATGACTGCGATTAGTTTAACTGCCAGAACAAAAGCAAAACGCACATTTTTCTACTTTTTAATAAACAGAAAGGACAATTTCTTATACCAGTGGTACAATTCCAGATTCTGATAAATTACCATTTCCTATGGAGACCAAAAGAAAGGAAAAAATTGTCTTCATAGTTACTTTGCTAGCTTTAAAAAAAGGTGTTGGCATTTGGGTACCTAACACAGGTTATTTGGCTAACAGATATAAGTGTGTAGCAAACTGGCAGACAGAAGAGAAATGGTTTTAAAAATCACTAGCTCTGCGAATTTAGATGCAACGGCCAATTTTTAGTTTTGCTTATTTCATTCTAATTAAAGCCTATTGTTTAAAATTTGGGGTCTTCACTGAATTCTCCATTACTAAGACATGTGCACACAGAACCTTCTTGGTCTATCACTAAGTTAAGGTATAAGGTCAGACTCTAACTCACTTTCCCATAATAAACAGCCCTTTACTCTTCCAATAGTCCCAGTGGTTTTAGAGGAATGAAAGACTGTTCTATATGAGGGTACTACAGGGGTGGGCAAAATACAGCCCATGGACCAGATCCAGCCTGCCAAGAGATTTTGTCTGGCCAGTGGTGGGTCCCTTGGTCCAGCCCAGGCTCAAGAGGCAGCCCAGGCCATGGTACACATGGCCAGTCCTGCCACTCCCAGACATGCAGCAGGGCTGGGATGGCGTGACAACCAGACTCACTTCTGGATGTTGTTGCTGGACCTGGCCCCACTGCTTAGGCACCCCAGCAAGTCCACCCTGCACCCACAGCTGGGGGCAAGATCCACATGGGCAGGGCATGTGGCTGGTCACATGGGATGGGGCTGTGGGCAGGCAGGGAGCAACAGTGGGGAGGAAGGGAGGGCTGGGCCAGGACTGGGATCACAAGGCAGTGACAGCACAGGGCCCGGGCCCCCCATGATTCCAGCTCTGGCCCCAACTGCCCATCCCATTCTCAGATACCACTCCCTGCTCACCCATTGCCCCATCCCAGCCAAGCGCAGAATAAAGCCATAATCCACTGTCTGCAAGCCCCTGCAAGGGGTGCCAATTCTGTGGGTAGGGGAGCATGGAAAGCAGGCCCTGTGCTGTCACTGTCCTGCAAACCCGGATGGGATGGGCCACTTAGGAAGTTCTGGTGAGCTGTTGGGCAAGGGGAGGGGCAGGGGTGGTGGGTGCGGACCTGGCTCACGACAGCTTACCAAAACTCCCTATGTGGCCCATGGACCCAAATAACTGCCTACCCCTGGGGTACTAGAATGTAACCTTTAACAAACTGGACATATGGAACTATGAGAAACAGCCCCCTAAAATGCCTATTTTTTCTTAATTTGCAACCCAGACTTGCCTATTACCATGTCATTACCAAAGATACCTGCAGACTAAAAAGACAACAAGCCCTGTTAGCCACTATTTTCTCTTGTTTGGTTTAACTAAATATTTCCCAGGCAAAGATATTAAAATCTCATGCTCAACTTTGCTGCATTTGCATCATGACTAAAAAATCAGAATAACTTTTTTGTTGAGAGAAAATATTAGGTTTTAAAGGGCATCAAAACAAAAGGCCAGGAATGTCAGTAGGAGCATATTAGAAATTTCTTTTTAGTACCTTTCTGATAATTATCTCTTTTTAAAACAATAACACAGATTACATTTAAAAAACAACACAAAAAAGTTGAACCAAGAGGGTGGGAACATTCTGTATAACTCTTCCCCTGTTTCCTGTGCTCCTGAATTAAGACGTGAGAAAATTAACCATAACAAGATAATTACCCATAATCCAGTAAATGAGTTGCAGCCCTTCAGCAGGTCCTTTTTTCTTCAAATAAGGTTTTACGTATGTTATTACATCACCTAAGTACTCTAGAGCCTTTGTTACCATGGCAGATTTCTCAGGTAGAGTCTGAAGGCTACCATAAGTTTTACCAACAGCCTGAAAAAAGAGGTGTTGGAAAGAAAGACAGTGAATTAGATCAGACTTTGTTGTTTCCTTTTGTTTATCTGTGAAGTTTTGGCAAAATGACTCTTTAAAACCATAGCCAAGAACAAAATCTTTTTATCTGTAGTGGGTCTATAGGAGTTGTGTATAAGAGGTACAGTACCTTAATGAATTGGACAAGTGCATTCTTAGGGTCTTGCCTGATGACTGATTCATCAATATGAGCCTTTGAGAAGACATTTTCTACTTCAGAGAGTTTAAAAACCAACCTTGTCATTTCAGTCAGCTGCTCCATATAAACTTTCCCTGATTATGATAAAGAAAACAGCTGAGAATGTAACATACTTTGATATTAAGCTCTGTCCACTGTTGAGTGGATCTAGTCACAAAATCATGAAATATGACTCAAAAGTCTCTGCAAATAAGGATTCCACAATTTAAATTTTCTTATGACAAAGGGTATTTACTAAGTATACCCACTACTGGATAAGAATAAAACATACTAGAGGTAACTCAAACCCTTCATTTTACTGATGACCTTTCCCAGGAATGTGAAAATGTATATGAAGAATAGCGTTAAAAGACGCATCTTACATAAAATTAGAAGTGCAGTCTTCTATATAAGAAACGAGCACATATCAGCAGTGAAGTAGCCAAGAAAAGCAAAACACCCTATCTAGAGGAAAGAAGGATTCATAATTGGATTTTTAGGGAGTTCACAGCATGATTGTTGGCTATTTACTTGAGCTTTTTATTTGTTCATAGCAGTTTCTTCATGGGGGGGGAACATAGCTTGTCCTTGGGAATAAGTTTTTGTTCTTTGCTTCCAAGGAAACAAGCTCTTTTATCTTTATGATACATTTGTCACATACAGGGAAGTCAAAGCATCAAGAAATAGCACAAGCAACATAAAGAAAAACATTGTGTAATTAGGTAAGAGTAAAAGAATACAAACAAAAATATATTTTTCAATTAGCTGAAAAAACGCACCATTTTTGCAATATAGAATCATTACTGCAAACACTGGGGAATGTGGATGCTTACCAACTGTTTGTTCACCATCTGTCCTGGCCAAGGCACCACTTGGTTGATCAATGAACATTTGTAAAATGCATCGAAACCAAGAACGCACTATCAAAGCTTCATAAGGTGTATGACTCACACCAGAAAAAGCCTCAGACAATGAACTGCATAAGAAGAAGAGATGCAAACATGTAAAAAGATGTTTTGAGCCTGAAAGCTTGAAAGAACAATTTTTGCAACTATTTAGTTGATTTAATAAAAGATATCACATGTACCTAAAGAACCTTGTCTGCCTAAAAAAATGTCAAAAAGATTCAATTTAGTTTAGACTTAGAAAGTATTTCTAGCAGAATTTTGAGTAAATAATTATAAATATAATACAGATGAAGGACCAAGCTGGGAATACTTTTATATATATGCAACCTACTGACTGAGACACAGAAAACCCACACACTTTAGAAATCTCTAGTTCAGCCAAGGGAAATCTAAGGATACCTCCTTGCTGCCGAATAAAACATACGGTAGAAATACCCAGCCTAGCTTTAAATGAGTTAGTTTGGCTACCTTAAAGAGTCTAGCTAGAGCATCTTGGAGCTCTGCGTCTGCCTGCTTCCTCTGGACTGCTTCTGGTAGCCAGGGCAACTGATTTAAGGATAGCTTGTGTAGCTGTATGCTACATTCAAGCCCACAGGGTACACAGCCATCCTCTGCTGTTAAACTCAGATGAGGTCATTTGCTTTTGTAAATCAAGCTATGGCCAATCAAAAAGAGGTCATGCTCAATAAGTAAAACCCACTACAGCAATCTAGAGATGGTGCAAGTGATTATGAAATGATTAGCAGAAAGCTATGCTGAAATGGCTCCATCCCTGGATGTTTTTAAGAACAAGCAGACTTAGACAGACACTTGACTGAGATGGTTTAGTCAGGAACAATCCTATCTTGAGCTGGGGGTTGCACTAGACAACTCTTTAGGTCCCTTCCAGCCCTACATTTTATGATTCTATGATCTACAATGGTATACAGGGCCAGATTCCACTCTCATTTCCATTAGAGTAAACTGCAGCCAGAAATTATACCACAGCCAGAGAAGCATCACTTGCATACAAAAATGCATTTAAAAAAAAAAAAAGAAAAGAAAATCCAGTGCTATTTAACTCATTACACTTAATTAGGCCATCCCAAGGCAGCATAATTCCCAGATATTCCCAGCAGTCAACTCCCACAAGAGTTCTAGTGTTGCTTGAAAATATTCTGTCAGAATAAACGATGTGTCAACACAGAAAATATGTTTTAAATGTTATGGAACTGGCATAATTTCATAATATTAAATATTTGGTGTAATTTATTTTGAAAATAAAAATACATATATTCATAGCCATATGATTTGCATACCATTTACATTAGGCAAACACATACGGATGCAGTTTATAACACAACACTATGCAACACATAGCACAACACAGAACTACAAAGTGCAAGTATTTTATATGTTATATCAGAGTATGTGGCGATTCAGCACCCCCTTAAATAGGTGTAATAGAAGGTAGGTGTGGCCGACTTCCCCCTAAAGAATCAATGTCATTAGTTAGGGCCGAATACAGTGAAAAAGATACTGTCCTGTGCATCACCTTCCCAAGGTCCGTTTTCTCCACAGGCAAGATTCAAACGATTTCAATACACATTTGATTTGGGTAGGGGAATGGCTAACTTCTACACTCCTGCTTCCAGAGGGAGATTCAAAATGACCCAGTTGTTAGACATCAAGCATTTCCATCCAGCCAAGAAAGAGACTTCAGAAATGCCTAAGCATGGTTCAAGTTTGTGCGTCTAGGTGCTTTATACAGAGAACGGGAATTAGTAACGTACCACCAAAGGTCAATTCACAAAGCTCAGTGCTTAGGAGGTGGCCAATTGAACGTTTCAAGCCTTCCATTATACATTTCTCTTTTGCAATTCTACACATCTAGTAACACTTACGAGAGCAGCACCGACCCATATCTAATTGGCTAGTGGTTTAAGCATTCGCCCAAGATAAGGGATGATGGCTTCTATCCTCCTCCCCATCCCCATCTCTGAGGGATTTTGAACTCAGATCCCCCACTTCCTGATCAAATGCACTCTCCAGCCCTTCTGTTAAAGCTGGGCCACTGGACAAAAGTGGCCTCTTGCAAACGTAAGAGAGAAAGAAAACATGGGGAGAAAGAAAACAAGCAAATGGAGTCTGAATCTGTAGCATGGTAGCTAGGCCCCTCCTCTGCAGAGGGGAGTCTTGGGTTCTGGTCTTCACTGTCAAGCTTATTTCTGGTCTTTAACCAATGCTTGTCAAATGTAAAATGCCTAAAGCACTGGGAAACAGGCACCTTGTCCTCCCTCTTCCCAGGGAAGTGCCATGATCACTGGTCTACACTCATGCTTCTCTTTAACTTGTTCTCATCCTGGCTCCATGATTTTTGCACTCTTTTCTGCCCAGTGAACCTATTTTAAAAGGTGTGTGTGCATGTTGGGGATGGGGCGAAGAGCTCTCACCTAGTCTACTTGATACCCTAGTAGTTAGGGCACCATATATACCCTAGATAATCACAACCTGGGGTTAAATCTCATTAGTGTAGGGAAGGTCTAGAACCCAGTTCTCCTACATTCTGTGTAAATGTATTGATGGGGCAGAGGGTGAGTACCACTACTAACACCACACCAGGTGCATTTTGTGTGGTCTGTCTGATTGACAGCATGGCACTCCCTCAGGCATTAAGTAGAGCTTGGGCACCTCAAGGAGCCAATCTGAATCAATTCAGAGCTCGAGGGAAAGCAAAACGTATGTTCCAGGCCACTTTTTTGAAGGCATGCACACCTAATTGTTGCTACCTAGAGATCCTTGCAGTCCCAATGGTAGAATTTTAGTGGCTTTAGGCACCCAGTACATTTTTAGAGCACTGGCATAAGGTCAGTTTGAATCAGTCCTTAGGACTTGGATGTCTGAGTCCTACCTGAACTGAGTTAAGCATCTATTGATCATGGCCCAACATGTCAAGCACCAACCTGTTGCTTCTCTGTTCAAAAAGCACATTCCTGTGTCACTGCTTTTAACTAAGGTGATCATATTATGGGACAATGTGAAATCCAAGACACTACCCTACCTACCCCACCCCTTCTGCCCTTCTGCTTCAGGCAGAAGCAGGGAGGTATGATGCACCTCTGGTATTGTTATTTAGGCAGCTATTGGAGTCAATGGCCTGCTAATGACCCACTGTTCTTTACTTCAGAGGTGTTAACAATTATCTCCCTTTTGTAATGGTCATTCCACTAATCACTATTTTAGGGCAATTTTGTTGTCTGCTAGGGTTTCCTAGTTCACAGCTCTTGTCATGCCACCTCCCACCCCGAACCCAAGATGCTCCTTTTAATTTTCACCAGCCAGCTGGGACCAGCCTCCAAAATCTGGCACATGTGGTCACCGTACTTAACGCCTGCAGGACAACCAGGTTCTGATGGAGTTCCTACAGGGCCAGTTTTCACCAGGTGTCAATGAATTTATTTGAAAGAAGACAACAATTTACTCTGCAGGCTTGCGCACTTGTAAAACCAGAATCCTGTGCTTAACCTAAAGTCAATATTTTTCTATCAATTTTCTTTGTAAACATTTATAAAAAAACCTTTATTTTGCACTGACTTTTACCCCTGTATGAAGTAATAATAATAAAATAAAAAAGGCAAAGTATATACATGTGTAATACTAGTTTTATTCATATGGACATTAAAAAAAATCAAGCCACAAAGCTGTTCATTAATCACATCAGTATATCCTCATTACTTTATCCTGTCTTCCTTTCCTCTATATCCATCCACCATTGGGACAGCAACTTAAAATTTGTCTTGAAATTGAATGTGAACCTTTGGTCAAAAGACTAAAGCTCTAATCCTGCAAAGGCTTACAGTCGTGCTTAACTTTATGCGTTGTCAGTAGGCCCAATTAAATAAATGGGATTACTTATGTACTTAAAACCAGGCAAGTGTGTAAAGTATTCTGCTGAATAGTCTGTACAGGACCAAATACATTGGAGTATGGATTTCAGCTGGGGCTACTGTAACAGAAATAAATAAATAATAGGTTGTTTGGGTGGTCCTGAGGGTGTAATTTGTGTTGCTGAACATTTATTATTGGCGATAAGGCAGCAAATAGAAAGAACCTCGCTTCAATTTCTGAGACTAAGTTGAGTTTGCCTGACTGACAGAAAAAAAATAATCTTTTTACTTTTAAACTGAGCACATTTGATGTGAAAATTACTGAAACACAATAACCATGAAGCCTAAAAATGCTGGCAGTTAGATATTTTGGTAACATGCTATAAAACTGCCTGAAGCACATGAACACGTATATGGACAATTACATAAAATACATTTTAATACATATTAAATTAAATTGTTTATAATATACCATTCTTACAAGGCAAGTCCTGTCTTAGGCATTTTTCACACCTATTACCATAGTCTAAGAACATCACAAACTCTAGGTAACAGAGGGAATTACTATTACCTCCTTTTACATAGTGTGATTAGGCACAGAGAGACAGAGACTCAAAGAAATTAAGGCACCTAAAAACGGAAGCTAAATGCAATTTAGACATCTAAATCTAAAAGGGCAATTCACAAATAATCTGTCTTAGTGTGCTTAGGGCTCATCACCTAGATCTAGGATTGGATCCAACCCATGAACATGGGGCTTTGGTGGCAGGGACACCTTCCGCGGGCACATTTCCCATGCCACCATAGGGAAAAGTGCCAATTGCAGGCACTTTTCTTGTGCCACAAGTGGTGGTGGCAACAGGGTCCTTGCGTCTACCTTTCAGCCCACCCCCAACCCAGGGTGGGTCATTCCAGGAGCCAGAAAGGTTGCCAACCCCTGATATTAGGTGCTTAACTTTTCTGAAAAAAATAATTAGGCCCCCAAAGTTAAGCTACCATGCATGCCCAGAAATGGCACCATCTTATCTGAGCTTAACAGCCAGGCACCTTAACCCCACCATCTTGGGATTCACTGACTTAGTGTTCCTGTCTCCAGGAGCCTAAAGAATCACAGTGTTGGAAGGGACCTCAAAGGTCATTTGGTCCAACCCGCTATACAAATACAGGATTTGTTATCCTTATCAACTGCTCATCTGTCATGTTCCTGAACACCTCCAGTGAAGGAGATTCTACAGCTTTCCCTAGGCAGTCTATTCCACTGCCTTACCACTCTAATAGTAAGCATATTTTTTGTCCAATCTAGTCTAAATCTGTTGTGGTGCAATTTAAAACTATTGCTTTGTGTCCAGCCCTTAGTGGCAAGGGAAACAGTTGCTCACCCTTGTCTTTATAATATCCTTTCAAATATTTGAAAACTACTTCCATATCCCTACTTAAACTCCTTTTCTCCTGCCTAGCAATCTCAACCCTTTTCTCACATGGCTTGCATGCCAATCCCTTTATCGTTCTTGTCACTCGCCTCTGTTTTTCTACATACTTAAAATATTCAAGATGAGTATAAAGCAGCCCTTAATAGAGTGGTACTATCAACTCCCTTGCTTTACACCCAATATTCATGCAGATCCAACCCAAAAGTACATCTTCTTTTAAAAAAAAACAAACAACTGCATAATATTGCTGATTAATCATGCTGAGTCTGCAATCCACCAACCCCCCCGATCCTCCTCAGCATGGCTACTGCTCAGCCAGTTATATCCCATTTTGTAGTGTGCACTTATTTATTCTTCCCTACATGTAGCATCTTGTATGTCTGCACTAAACCTATTTTTATTGTCCCTAGCCCAGCCTCCCAATCTACCAAGGTCCTATTGCACTCTACTCCTATCCTGCAGAGTGTTTCCAGTTCTTTCCAGTTTTATGTCCTCTAAAAACTTGATCAGGAAGCTATCGATTCCAGCATCCAAATGATTAACAAACATGTTAAACAGCACCGGACACAAGTCAAACCCCTGTGGAACCCCACTTGAAACCGCCTGCCATACTGATATCGATCCATTTATAATTACCCTTTGCTTGCAGTTATTGAGCCAATTTTGTGTCCACTTGATAGTACTTTTATCTAGTCCATGTTTCTACAGTATACTTATAAGAATATTATGTAGGCTATACCAACTATTAAATGTCCACTACATTCCTTTCAGTCATCCAACCTGATACTTTGTCAAAGAAAGAAATCAGTTGGTTTGGAACAATTTGTACTTGACAAATCCATGATGGCTGGTAACAATCAGTCTTTCTTCCTCCAGATGTTTAAAAATTCTGTTGGATGGGCTCAGAATATGAATAACATGAACTTTCATTCAAGAAATACAGATAACAGTGTTGTAATAGCCTAATGGTTAGAGCATTTGCCCTTAGTGGAAAACCCTAGTTCTAGGTCCTTCCTGGTCTGGGGGTGGGTGAGGTCAAATCTCTTACTTTCCTGGAAAATGTTCTAACCACCAAGTTAAAGTCCAGGCTGGGCTGAGGGAAGCCATCACCATTCTTGATAGCGGAACCACTGTGCAAAAAGGAAATGCATGGAGGAGCCTAACTGTAGCTCAATGATGAGAAGGTTTCCTTGGGAAGGAGTACTGGGTTCCTCCTGGAACTGAGCACGCATTGAATAGCTTTTGGATAAAATGCAAAAACAGCACTAAAATCAGGGACGAAGACCTAGGCCTGCCTCCCTTCCAAAGGAGTTTCCTCACCACTGGGCTACAGAAGCATGCTTTCTCTTGCTTGTTCTCTCCTTGGTCCCATGACTCTTATATTGCTTTCCGTACACACGCAGTAAGGGTAGTTTGCTGCATGAAAGCTATATTTGCAAAATGTCTGCCAATTCATTATCCAAAGATATAAAAATACCTTCAAAATACATCTGGAGGACAAACCATAATACATTCAAGAAATCTGAAACTTAAAGAGCTGCAAATGATCTTTAACACAGAAACTGGGCCACTAAGTGAGGCATTGTTGTTTAAAGTTTTCCATTAGTTAGATGCAGGAATGAGGAAACTGTGTGTGCTTGAAAGGAGCTGAAAGAACAAGGAGTTTAAATTGTTCACCTGTTTTGTATTAGATGACTTAGATATCTTGATACCAGCTGGTGCCATACCATGTCATCCCATCCAAACAATTGCATCATTGATAAAACAGGCTGAGGCTGGAGATCTGGTGGAGCAGTGCTGGGCATATCCAAAGCTAACAAAGTAAAAGCTGATTTTAAATAGAAAAAAAAAAAAAAAGAAAAGAAAGGGACAGTGTTAGAGATTTCTCATGAATTTAAAATATATTCCTGTTCCACTAACAAATATTGAAACTTATTTGTTATTATTAATATTTATGTTGCTCTAGATTCCAGTCAGGATTGGGAACCAAGATAGTAGGCACTGTTTAAAAAATAGGGAGAGGTAACCCCTTTTCCAAGCAGCTTACAATTTTAGGATGACACACAAGATATGAAGGATGGGGAATGATGTAATCAAATGCATACATTGGTTACAAAGCCAAGAGACATCATCTTGTATAAATGTGCTCTGTGAGGTAATTGGACATTTCCCCTTACCTCCCACTCTGCCTTTGATAAATGAGTGCACTTGGTGTCCACTAAGAACTTTTAAAATGCCTTAGTCCTCCAGAAAGGTACTGAATTTTAAAAAACAGAGAATCTGTAGGAATTTCCAGCCTGATCTTCTTAAAATACTTCTTTATATATTGGTGTTTTATGGGGAAAAATGTGTAAGTGCCGTGCTAACGACAAAGCTACTCCTTAACAGAACAGTAGACCTCACACAGTCCTAAGGCAACACCTGCAGACCTATAAAACTGTATAATAAATATATGCCACAGAATTTTTTAATGAGACATAAGCATTTGCTCTCAATACTGGAGGGCCGCTATGGAACACATCCAACACCACCAACATCAAAGTTACTCTCATTCTTTATGCTACAGATAACAAACACATTTACTCAGGAAGGAGACGTAACCTAGAATGCTGATATGTTATTAGACTAAATGAAATCAGCAACAGCAAATGAGGATTGGAAAACTGATCTTTATTTTCTGATTTTAAAAAACAAGGCATCCACCAGCTTCTGATCTTTCCCAATTCAAGTTAAATAAAAGCTAGCTTATTACTAAATTAAGAGTATGCTTATAATGCGATATGCATACAGAAACTTTTGATTAGTGGAAGCGCAAGCCTGTTTTCAGAAAGAGCAACAAGGCAGCTATTTTAATTAACAGAGGGTTAGATTATGGTTTCACAACAAGCCCTGAGTATGGGTAGCATGTACTCATCCTGCCTTACAATGCTTTCCCCTGTCCTGCTTCTAAGTAAGAGTCAAAATGTGGTCCCCAATTACCCCAGGGCAGGAAGGAATTTCTGTCAACCCCTTACTAGATTACTTGCACCACTGTTTGTTTAGTACTTTTGGCCAATAGGCTGGAAAAGGGTGGCATGGTGAAATCAAGCTATCCCTTTCTGACCAATCCCACCCACTTCCATAGAGGAAGCAGTGTTTCAGCAGAAGTGTTCTCTTCCTTGGGCTACAACTTCCAGGCTAGAGACAGACATTCAAAAAGCCAGAGCATGAATTGATTCAATCTTTGCAGGTTACTCCAACCTGCATAGTTTGAACCAATCTGCAAGTGAACAGACATTCACTTTTGATTTTGGAAAGGTGCACATGCCTGAAGTGGCTCAGGCTAGAAGCCAGGGGGTGCAAGAGCAAGCCCTCAACTGGAGGGAAACTAAGCTGAGGGAAGCGGTGCGGCCAGGCCTGGGAAGGCCTGAATATGATTAGGGAGAGGCTTAACCCTCCACCCTGGCCTGCAGAGACCCCAGCCAGGGTCTGCCTGGAGTGGGAGGGGGGAAGCAGCCCCTGTCAGTGGCTGGTGGCAGGAGCAGGTGCAGGGCAGACCCTGGTAGTCTGAGGGGAAGCGGGGGTTTAATCCCCCCATTGCAGGAGGTTGACGATGGTGTTGGCACCAATAGGCTCAGCTCACGTAGGCAGGGGCATGCACCCAGAGCTGTAGCCGCCAGACACCAGTAGCCTGAGGGGAAAGAGAGGGGGGGTTAATCCCATCATTGCAGAAAGCAGCAGTGGGGGCACCAACACAGCACCCTGGGCCAAGTCTCTCAGAGGAGAGGTCAGCTGGCAACTGGAGGGGGCATGTGACCTGGCTGCAGGGTTGAGGGGGGCAGAGCCAGGGCTAGTTACAAAGCCTGACACACCACTGCCTCCTGCTGCAGCAGTATGACCTGGGCTGGAGTGGCTCCAGGGCATGAGGGTCAGCACCCGCCACTTCCCGCCTCAAGCCCCATGTGGGAACTGTGGTTTGCAGGTGAACAGCAGCTGTAGCATGGCTCCACACCCCTTTCCTCTCCTACCGATGGTGGCAGAGTGAACTATCACAGCGGGTGGAGGTCTTCTTTCTGTCACCTGCCACCTGCTTGAAGTGTTGCCGGGTGCTCAGGGTGAACTGCTGCAGGCTAGGGCAGCAGTAGGGGGAGGCAATGGACCCACTGCAGCCCAGCCCCACAGCCCAGGGGCACAGGCAGAGACTGGCCTACGGTAGCCTGCCCCTCCTCTCAGAGGTGGCGGTGGAGTGAATCATCAAGGTGGGCAGAGGTGAAGCACCTGTCACTCACTGACTGCTCACAGTGGTGCCAAGCACTTGGTGACAGGTGACAGCTGCTTATGCCCTTGGGCTGTGGGACTGGGCTGGATCAGGATGCAGCAGCCACTGGCTCCCACCACTGCTACCCATGCCCCAGGCCCACAGTAGCCCACCCTGAGCACCCAATGCTGCTGTGAGCAGGCGACAGGTGCTTCACCTTTGCCCACCATGATAGTTTGCTCTGCTGCCACCACTGGGAAAGGGAGGGGCAGGGAGTTGCAGCCCACCTGCAACCCTCGCTCTGGCCCAAGTCATACGGCTACAGCAGAAGGCAGTGGTGTGTCAGGCTTTGTAACTAGCCCTGGCTCTGCCCCCCTCAACCCTGCAGCCAGGTCACATGCCCCCTCCACTCGCCAGCCTGGGTTGCTCTGCCACAGTGGGAGGAAGCGGTGAGTCGGGCTCCATAACTAGCTCCAGCTCCTCAGCCCTGCAGCCAGGTCACACCCCCCACCCCCACGCTGGCCGGCCACTCCTCTGAGGGACTTGGTCCAGGTGCTGCAGTGTGGGCCCTGCCTGAGGTAATTTTCAGCATGGGACAGAGCCAGTGCCATGCTGGTGCCCATGCTGCTGTTGCCTGCAATGGGGGGATTAACCTCCCCAGTTTCCCTCAGGCAACTGGTGTTTGGCTGCCACGGCCCCCAGTGCACGAGTGGAGCTATCGGTGCCCGTGCTGACCCCGCCTACAATGGAGTGATTAAACCCCCAGTTCCCCTCAGGCTACCAGGGTCTGGCCCCATCCCCACTCCTGCCCCTGGAGCAGTGAGCGAGGTGGGGGGCTCAGGACACCTGGCAAGGGCTGCTGCCCCTTTGCCAGGCAGACCTGGCAGCACTCCAGAGCAGGGTTTCCCAGCTCTACCCTTTTCTCAGCCAGTCAGAGCAGTGCTAGTGCTCTGGCTAGGGAAGAGAGGGGCAGGGGCAACCCTGCTTGGCTGGAACAGACTGCCCAGCCCAGGGCTGCAGAGTATGCTGGGATGCTGGAGGACTCTGATTTAACTTAAACAAGGAAGGGGTTTGAGACGCATGTTCCATAAATCAGTTTTTTTTCTTTCGATTAAATCTGATACTACATTCAACCAGGTTCATCTCAAACCAGTTTTGGCTACATTGAAACTGGTTTATGTGCACTGAACTTA